CTGTTTGTATTTTAAATCAGACAATTGGCTTTTGGTGTCTGGTGACCCATTAGCCACTCAGCATAGGAAAAATGCCAGCACCTTCTACTGAGGCCCAAAGCGAAACTTTCTGTGTGTGTGTGTGTGTGTGATAAGCTCTCCTCTTGCTATGTAGTTCAGGGCTGGGCTTGAACTCACTATATAGCCTAGGCTGGCCTCAAACTTGCAGCAATCCTCCTGACTCAGCATAGAGTGCTGGACTACAAGTGTGCACCACCACAACCAGCAAAGCTAAACTGAAAACCTTTTCAAAGTGAGTCTTGGGAGTGGGCAGCCCTGCCACGCTGCCTTTCAGCCTGTGCTCACTGCAGAGATCCTTTCCAAGCCTGTGACTGTGATTTGCCAACATTCTAATGAAAGGACTTGACTTTATTGTTCTTTCTCTCACCTGACAATAGAAGAGGTCAGACCTGTATGACTGGCAGAAAGGCCAGGCCCAAAGTGATTCATCTTTGAAAACATTGTATTGTTTCACTCTCCATGAGACTCAAAGCTCTCTTTGCAAAGCTCCATCCAGATTTCCATGGTGGCCCCAGCACCCAGCAGTCCCAGATAGCCAGAGGGAAAGGGAGCAGGCGGCAGTTTAAGCCATCTGTCCTAGAACAAGACATCTGGTCACAGACCTGTGCCTCTGATCTGAACTCTTTGGGAGCCATCTGGCCCTCGATCTGACAGAACTATGTGAAGCCAGACGCTGTCAAGTGTTCATGAGACTGAGAGGAAAGGATACCCAAGCCAGTCAGCCTGGCAGTGAGGTTGCCCACTGGGAGAATTGTGAGGTCAACTATTTGTTGTAAATGTGTCCATAGATATACATACACACAGGCCAGGGCCTTACACCTTTCAAAAATCTTTCTTTCCAAGCACAACACTGGATGACAGTAACATAGTTTTCTATTGTTAAGTTTGGCTGGGATGCCTTCTTTCTGGTTCAAAAGAAAATGAATCTGTCAATTTCAGTAGGAGAAAAGTGCAGAGAAACTCTGGATTACACGTGGCAGGTGTCTTAGATGCATGACCAGAGGATGCACAGCATGCTGGAGGAACTGTAGTGGAAAAGGTCCCCCAAATGCAGGGTGTGGGGTACTACTTTTGTTAGGTTGGAGGTGTCTGGGCTTCTGGTTCATGATATCTTCCTTGTCATACACGGCATATACCACATGACTATGTTCCTCTTGCAAGGTACTATTTTTTCCCCAAGTCTTAGCTAAGTATTGGAAAGGACCAGAAACCACATAGAGTCTAATGAGAGTTACAGAAATTTTATTAAGGTGAAATATAATCAATGCCAGAGAAGTTGAGAAGTTGTTTGTCCTCTAGAATTTTGCTCACTGTGTTACTGCAAGAGTACATGTTGCATGCTTAGACCAATGCAAATCAATCTCAACACAGATTTTGAACCCTGCTGAATTTCAGAAAATAACCAATAACCTCATTTTGGAATCAGATTCAGAAACTCCACTTTTAAAAATGGAGCTGGGGTTTAAATTTCTCCAATTAAAATGAAAGGTTGATTTTATTTTTTTATTGGTACATTTCAGATATGCATAATGATAGCATTCATCATAGGGACTTTGTACCTGTACATGATATATCTTGCTTCCTTTTTTCCCATTTCCCACCCCTCCCTTCAACTCGTTCCCCTCCTTATTTACAAAACATTTGTTTCCATTTTTTCCTTCTATTCTCTTTTTTTCCTGGTCCCTTCCTTTTTTTCTTCCTCTCTCCTCCCTTGTCCCCCTTCTTTTTGAACATTTTTCTTTCCATTTCCCAATATCTATTATAGATTTTGGTCTTTATTTATACTTTCAGTTTCTCACCAGAGAAACAATGCAGTATTTAAACATATGTGTTAGATTTATTTCACTTAAGAGTATGTTCTCAAGGCACATCCATTTTGAAATGTCTCCAGCTTATCCTTCTTTATGACAGAGTAGTATACCATTGTATAAAAAACCCTACATCTTCTTTATCTATTCATCGGTTGATGGGCATTTGGACTCTTTCCAAGATTTAGCTATTACAAACTGTTCCGCTATAAACATGGATGTGCATATGTGGTATGATGCTTTTAATTATTTTGGGAAGATACCAAGAAGAGGAATAGCTGGGTTGAATGGAACCTCTAGTTTTAGTTTTTTGAGGAATCTCCACACTGATTTCCACACGGGTTGTCTCTTCACTCTGTTGGTGGTTTATTTTGCTGTGCAAAAGCATTTTTTTTTTTTTTGGTACCGGGGATCAAACTCGGGTCCTTCCACTTGCGAGGCAGGCGGCGGAACCACTGAGATAAATCCCCGGCCCCACAAACACTTTTTAATAAGATGAGATCCCAGTTGTTGATTCTTTGACATTGCCTGTGCAATTGGGGTTTTGTTCATGAAGTGTTTGCCTACACCAATATCTTCAAGAGTTCTACCTATTCTATCTTCCAGTAGATTTAGTATTTGTTTTAATATTTAGATCTTTGATCCATTTTGATTTGAGTTTAGTGTATGGTGAAAGATATGGGGAAAGGTTGATTTTAGACTGCCATCACCATATGAGATCATGTGGGAAGATATGGGAGTGGTTGTAAAGACAACTGACATAAAATCCTTCTGACCAATTCCTTTTTGTATCTCTCCCCACAAAGGACAAATTACTTGACCTAACACTGTGGTCCATCAAGCAACCAGTTGTTTCCTAATATGGGCAGTTCTGCACTCCAGTTTCACTTCTGGAATCCAAGTGCTAGGAGAATGGCATTTACTTTTGTGTGTATTTCTGCACAAGTTTCTCCTTCCCTGCTTGCTTCCAAAAGCTACAAAGCCTCTGTGCTGTTTGCTTTAGCATTAATTATGGCATCTGCAATAATGGAATTTCCTGAAACTACACTGTTAGGATAAGCCCTGACACAGTTGAACCCTAATAGTTTGATCACAAAATTTAAAAGAGTAGTCAAAAAATTTGAGGAATCTCTCCTTATTAAAAATAAATGTTTACCAAAAAGGTAGTGACAGCCATTAAAAAGAATGAAATCAATATACATCTACTGACACAGGATGATATCAGTGGTACAATTAAAAATGAAAACTAGCAAAGTAGAGAAAAGTATATAAAATACAATTATTTTGGATGACTTAATCTTTCAAAAAACAATTTTCCACATTAACAATAATGACAGTTATAGTACATGACCTATCATTAGACTAAAGGTTAAATTTTGCTTCTTTGATAATTAAAAATATATATAAAGAAAAAATCTAGGGTTTTTTTGTTGTTTTTTTGTTTTTGTTTTTTTGAGACAGAGTCCTGCTATGTAGTTCAGGCTGGCCTTGGACTCACTATATAGCCCAGGCTGGCCTCAAACTCATAGCAATCCTCCTGCCTCAGTCTCCTGAGTGCCGAGATTAAAGGTGTGTGGCACCATACCCAACTTATACAAAGGAAAAATCTATAGTACAGTATTGGTTAACAGCTTGGGTAATTGAATATTCTCTTGTGTTAAACACTTGGTTATAATTTAATCCTCACAATAATCCCCACTTAGCGAGAAAACTAATGCTTACAGGAGTTCAGCAACTTGCTGGAAGTTCAATTACATTTTTACACTTGATCTTAGCCAAAAGGCCGAGAAGCGATTCAATTACATTTTTATCTGTCCATCTACATCTATCTATCTATCTATCTATCTATCTACCTACCTATCTATCTATCACAACAGAGGAGATCGAACCCAGTGCTTCCATACTGTGCCGCATTCTCAGCCCTTTTTTAATTTTTAATTTTGAGACAGTATCTCATTAAGTTACTAAATTGCCCAGGAGAGGCTTGAACTTGTAATCCTCCTGCCTCAGTCTCCCAGAGTGCTGGGATTCCAGGCATGTTCCACCATGCCTGGCTCAATTACATTTTATAGGTAGTAGAGCTGGGGTTTGGACCTAGGGCTGTCTCACTGTATTTCATGGTCTTAGGCCACCATGCTGTAATACTTCTACCAGTGTGATATTTGACTGTAACCACATGAGTTTCTTTTTCAGTATACAGTTTACAACAGTAGACCTCAGGGAATCAATAGGATATGTGTTAGCTTTGTGATTTGGCTAAGAGCTAAGGGAAATCTGTGTTAGCAACTACAACTAAACCACGCTGGGCATGAAGCTGACTTGTGCCTGCATTTGCAGAGTACCAGCTGAAAGAACTTGCAGGTCGGACAATAAGACAACAGTAACAACAATCCATGCTTAGAGAACTGGTAAAATAACATGTAGCACTTAAATTATTCAAAAAGCAAAAATAGGGCCTAGAGATGCAACTCAGTGGTACAGCATAGGCTTAGCATGTGTGAGGCTCTGGGTTCAATCCCCAACATCAAAAAGAAAATAATAATGATAACAACAATAATAATAAATAAAAAATAACAACACAAGGTTCACTACAAGATATTTAGTCTGTTATCATTAATTTTTTTTGTACTGGGGATCAAACTCAGGACCTTGCACTATGAGGCAGGTGCAGTACCACTGAGCTAAATCCCTGGCTCTAATTTTTTATTTTATTTTATTTCTGGTACTGGGGATTGAACCCAGGGCCTTTGCACTGAGCTAGAGTTTTAGCCCATTTTTTATTTTTTTATTTTGAGGTAGGGTCTCTCTGAGTTGGTAAATTGCCCAGGCTGGGCTTGAACTTGTGATCTCAGCCTCCCAAACTGCTGAGATTACAGGCATGTGCCACCATTAGCTACCATTAATAATAATAATAATTATTATTATTTAGCTTTTTTTTTTTTGTACCAGGGATCAAACTCAGGACCTTGTGCTTGTGAGGCAGGCGTGGTACTGCTGAGCTAAATCCCTGGCCCTAATAATTATTTTTTAAAGGGATACAAGTATTATGCTGAACAAGCATGACTCATGGAGGTATGTATCAGTTAATGTAAGCAACAAATAGACCCAAAACATGACTCTGAAAGATACTTCATTGCTTACTGCATGACATTCCTGGGTAGATACACAGGTCAGTGAGGTCCTCTCCTCCCCTGCTTTCATTCAGAGCTCCTGCTCTTTCCATCTGTGGTCTACCATTCCCTAGGTCAGAGAATGGCACATATTTTTTCCATTCATGTTGCATTTGAGAAAACTTTGTCACATGTCTGCCCCCAAATTGAAAGGCAGTGTGGGAAACATAGCATAGCTGTGTGCCTAAAGAAAATAGTGGCTTTGGTAGATAGCAAGGGACCCCTGCTACATTCAGCCTTTCTGCTTACCAAATGTATCCACCCTTCCCCAAAGGGAGATGACAAAAAAATCATAACATTCAATTATGGGACTCATATCAAAATCCGGAATGTAGTCTTCTCTAATTGGCCTGGTTGCATTTCCTTCTGGTTCAGCAATGTGTGAACTAAGAGCCAAGTTGTTGCCATTTCATCGCCATGCCAATAAAGCCACATGCTCAATGTGAACTGATGGAGCAGGGACAGGAAAATGGCAATAAAAACTCCTATTTGGGGAAGGAAAAAATGATAAACACACCTTAGTGTGGGTGTCCAAAGCAATTATGGACACCTGCTAGATATGTGTCATGAAGACACCCTACCTGGCAGTGGAAAAAGTTCCTACATTAGAATTGTTCCTACATTGATCTTTAGGAAACAGTGTCTGGTTGTTCCCCTTATACCCTGATCCTGCCCTCTGGCAAGCTCTTCCTTGCCCTTGTGCTCCTGGCTGTCTGCAAAGTAGGGTGTGTGCCCTCCCTGGGAGAACACAGCTTTGACAGTCGGATCCTGATGGTGCAATTTTCAATATCCAAATGTTGTCTTATGGCTTTCTTTCTTTATTTACTCAGATTAGGTTTATGGGCTTTTTGGCAATATAACTCCCTCAGAAACTTTTGGATCTCTTTGCTTCAAAATAGGTTCTTATCCCAGAAACCATACCTAAAGTTATTTTTCAAGATACAAGTATTAACTTTCCTATTTTTTAAAGTAAATAAATTTTTATTTAAGAATTTTACATGTCATTCCTTCAGTACCCATTAAGGTTACCTTAATGAGGTTCTTTGTCTTCAAGATAGCCCTTTTTAAGAACTGGTGCTTAATCTGCTTAACCTGGTCATCCTGCTGCATTGCCACAATTCATTCTCTCTCTCTCTCGCTCGCTCTCATTTTTTGAGACAGAGTTTCACTATGTAGCCCAGGCTGGTTGGAAACTCATGGCAATCCCCCTGCCTCAGCCTCCTAAGAGCTGGGATTACAGTCATGCACTATCATGCCAGGCTGGCACATTTCTTTCATTTGGGCTTTTAACACCACTTGAATGATGGACATAGTGATGTATGACAACTGCAAAATTCCTGGGATCTTAGACCAAACTTCTTCCAGCAATTTACTTTAAGATCCTGGAAGCTGAATTGTAGAAAGTAGTTGATATTTTGGCACATGATCCAGATTCTAGAATATTATTCATTAATCATTCATTTCTAATATTGAAACATTACTCATTACATATTTTACTCACATCAACTTTCCTTTACTTCTGTCTTTCTAGACTCCATGTCTCTCTCTTCCAACTTCATGCAGCTCCTATGAGTTTGTGCAAAACAATAGGCTTAGCTGTTCTTTAAACTGTTCCTCACAGAAGTGAAGAATTCCTCTTTTTTTATATATATTCTAGTGCACTTTGCTTCTCAAACCTTCCATTCTTTTCCCTGCTGTTGGGGTTCAATAGCTTCTCCATCCTGTAGGTTCCCCTTTCAGGGCTCCTATTCCTTTTGTCTCACTTATGAACTAGTGTATTCTTGCCTGAACTCTCCTATGGTATCTTGTTAAACATGGCAAGGAACAAACAATACACTATGAGTCACAGAATGGGCCACAACTTCAGAATTCCATGGAAAGGAAAACTTTTTCTGTTTGTTTCTATAGTATCACTATTTGTTTGAGTTTTTTTGTTTGTTTGTTTTTTGTTTTTTGGTACCAGGGATCGAACTCAGGACCGTGTGCTTGAGAGACAGGCAGCAGAACCACTGAGCTAAATCCTCGGGTCTAAAGTATTACTATTGCTGGGCATGGTGGTGCATGCTTGTAATCCTCAGCACTCAGGAGGCTGAGGCAGGAGGATCACTGTGAGTTCAAGGCCAACCTGGGCTACATATTGATTTCAAGGCCAGCCTAAACTACCCTGTTTCAAAAAAAAAATTAAATTAAATAAGTGAGTTCCCTAATGGCTTAGAACCACTGTCATTCAAACTGGACTTCAAGCCAAAACTGAACAAAAGAGGCAAAGAAGGTCACTACTTATTGGGTAAGGGGATAATCCAACAGGAAGAGATAACAATTGTTAACATATATGTACCAAACAATGGCATGTCTAACTGCATAAAACAAATAGAACTGAACATAACAGATTAGATAAACATAAACACAATTAGTCAGAGACCTCAGTACCTCTCTATCACAAATAGATCAACTAGACAAAAAGCAGCAAAGAAATATCAAAGTTTAACAAAACCTTTGAGCAAATAGATATCTATAGTGTTCCAACCAATAACAAAACACACATTCTTCTCAGTAGCACATGAAACTTTCTCAAGAAAAGACCACATACTAATCAATAAAGCAAGTTTAAGTAAATGTAAAAGAATTGAAATTAGCCAGGGATTTAGCTCAGTAGCACCGCATCTGCCTTGCAAGCGCAAGGTCCTGAGTTCAATCCCTGGTACGAAAAAAAGAACTGAAATTATACCATGAATATTATCCGATCACAGCACAATGAAATTAGAAATCAATGACAAAAGTAAACACAGAAATTAAGCAAACGCATGGAAATTAAACAATATACTCTTTTTTGGGGGGGTACCAGGGATTGAACTTTGGTTCTTGCGCTTGTGCAGCAGGCAGCGAAACCACTGAGCTAAATCCCCGGCCAAACAATATATTCTTAAATAAACAATGGGTTACAAAAGAAGAAATAAGACAGTTTCTAGAACTAAGTGATAATACCAGTACAACATAACAGAATTTATTGGACACAATGAGAGCAGCCATAAGAGGGAAGGTTATAGCTATGAATGCTCAAATCACAAAAAATGAGCCCAAATAAATAACTTAATGATAGGGGCTGGGGATTTAGGTCAGTGGTTCTGGGGCCTGCCTTCCAAGCGCAAGGTCCTGAGTTCAATCCCCAGTACAAAATAATAATAATAATAACTTAATGATGCACCTTGAGGTCCTAGAAAAACAAGAGCAATCCAAACCCAAAGCTACTACAAGGAATCAGGCAGAAATCAATGAAATTGAGACTAAAAAAACCTACCTCAAAGCAAAACAATACAACAAAATCAATGAATTGGAGAGTTGGCCCCTAGCCAATCTTATAAAAAAATAAACAAACCAAAAAAAAAAAAAAGGAAAGAAAAGATCCAACTCCATGTAATTAGAAATGAAAAGGGGCTGACTTCTGGGAAGATGGCAGAGTGGTAAATAGCAGAGATACAGCCGCTCCGAGATTTGGTGTCCAGATATTGGAATATAGCAATGTGAGGAAGAGAAGGAGAGAAATGGGTCCCCAGGACCCAGCAAGGATCTGAAGTGAGAATTAAAGCCCACAGGGAGAGAGACCTCAATTCAGAAGAAGGAGGTGACAAGTGGCACTTTCTCCCTGAGCCCTGACTCACTTTGTGAGAGGGGTGGCTTGAACCTGCAGATGCACAGTGACTAATGGCAGGCCAAGGGCCTCCATGGAGAAACATACCAGTGGAATGGAGCAGTGGATGAAGCAGACTGCAGTGCCTGGTGAGTTATCTGGGTTCAGATGTCCCCTAGGAGAGGGAGATTGGCCCATAATTATCTTGGAGAGAGGCCGACTGAGCTCAGAACTCAGAGCAGCTTTGGGCTGGCTCAATCTAGTGGCTGCCAGTGTCAGGGTAAGAGAGAACTGAAATCTCATTGTCAGGAGGTCAAGGAGCCAAATTCAAGCCAGCAGGAGGCACATGGAGTGTTGCAGGCTGAATAAATCAGGTTCCTGACTCACAGCTAGAAACCAGCCTGAACTTTAGTGGAATGAAAGGTGCAGGCTTGGTAAGATTATCTGCTACCCCAGTGTAAATATGCAGCTGACTTTCTGGGATCAATCAACATGGATCTGGGCTCTGTCTGCCCACTCTAACAGGGAAGGGAGAGACACACCCTGAAATGGACATTTTTTTCTTCTTTTCTTGTTTTTTGTTATCTTTTCTTTTTTCTTGATTTCTTGTTTTTATATGAGTGTGAGCATTGTTTCTAGTTTTCTGTTGTTGTTATTCTACTCTGTTCTTATTTTTATTTCTTCCTTCTCTCTTTCCCTGCTGTCCTCTTCACCGGTTTCCCAAAGTTAATGTAATCTTCCTTTGTCCTCCAGCCTTGCTTCTAATCTCTTCCTCTTCTTCTGTTATGGCTTTTGTTTAGATGCTCCCCTAAAGCCTCATATGGTCTTAGATGGGGCTTTTTCAGAGGTGGCTGAATCTAGAGTGTGTGATGCTGGGATTAACGGTGTGTGATTACCAAATCAGTCCACTGATTAGATTGGCACTGCCCCAATCTCAGTATCCTAGAGTATAAAAGGTGCAGAAATAGGCTGCTAAGGCCCCTTGTTGCTTTTGCTGTCTTCTGTGTGCAATGCCCCTTTCCTCTGTGATGCCCCTCTGCCATGTGCCACACTCTGGTTTGGAGCCAGCCAACTATGGACTTAAACCTCTGTGAACTGTAGGACAAATAAAGTTTTCCTCAAATCCCAGTGACCAGGAAGAGGCTCCCCTGCTGCCATTCCTGGCTCCTAGGGCAGAGAAGGTGAGTGAATTGGCTCACCTTCTCTGAGCCAATCCCAGTGACCAGGAAGAGGCTCCCCTGCCACCATTCCTGGATCCTAGGGCAGAGAAGGTGAGCCAATCCCAGTGACCAGGAAGAGGGTCCCCTGCTGCCATTCCTGGCTCCAAGGGCAGAGAAGGTGAGCCAATTCCAGTGAGCCAATCCCAGCAACCAGGAAGAGGTTCCACTGCCGCCATTCCTGGCTCCTAGGGCAGAGAAGGTGAGCCAATCCCAGCGAATAAGAAGAGGCTCCACTGCCGCCATTCCTGGCTCATAGGGCAGAGAAGGTGAGCCAATTCCAGTGAGCCAATCCCAGCAACCAGGAAGAGGATCCCCTGCAGCCATTCCATGTTTCTAGGGCAGAGAAGATGAGCCAATCCCAGTGACCAGGAAGAGGGTCCCCTGCTGCCATTCCTGGCTCCAAGGGCAGAGAAGGTGAGCCAATTCCAGTGAGCCAATCCCAGTGACCAGGAAGAGGATCCCCTGCCGCCATTCCATGTTTCTAGGGCAGAGAAGGTGAGCCAATCCCAGAGACCAGGAAGAGGCTCCACTGCTGCCATTCCTGGCTCCTAGGGCAGAGAAGGTGAGCCAATCCCAGTGACCAGGAAGAGGCTCCCCTGCTGCCATTCCACACTCCTAGGGCAGAGAAGGTGAGCCAATTCCAGTGAGCCAATCCCAGCAACCAGGAAGAGATTCCACTGCCTCCATTCCTGGCTCCTAGGGCAGAGAAGGTGAGCCAATCCCAGCGACTAAGAAGAGGCTCCACTGCCGCCATTCCTGGCTCATAGGGCAGAGAAGGTGAGCCAATTCCAGTGACCAGGAAGAGGATCCCCTGCCACCATTCCATGCTCCTAGGGCAGAGAAGGTGAGCCAATCCCAGAGACCAGGAAGAGGCTCCACTGCCGCCATTCCTGGCTCCTAGGGCAGAGAAGGTGAGCCAATCCCAGTGACCAGGAAGAGGATCCCCTGCCACCATTCCACACTCCTAGGACAGAGAAGGTGAGCCAATTCCAGTGACCAGGAAGAGGATCCCCTGCC